GGTAGTGGGATTGAGCCAAGTCTCAGAAACTGAGAAAATATCGAACGATTTACTTCTTACGAGATGACTAATGTCGTCCAGTTTGTTTACCAAGCTTCGTACATTCAGGTGAGCCACTTTGAAGCCACGAGCTTTTGGCAGATCATCTGCATAAGGACCAGGATTTAAACTCACATCGCCAGATAAAAGAACTAACGAGGAAGCGACCATAGATAATTTCAGCAAATGTAAACTAACTTTCAATTTACAAGATGGTGGCAGGCTGCCTTTAGTAGTGGAAGGAGAATGTCTCGGTAGACCAGGCGTATTTCTTGTTGGAAACCATGATATTGAAACACTGCAGTTTGCTTAAAATCAATACTCAATAGTCAATTTGCACTCCTGAACGCTGTGTGCCTACAAAAATGTTGCTTTGTGTTTACTGTTATCCGTGTTTGTATATACAAATCTATAGTAATCCAGTAATGACTCTTTTTAGTCAATGTTACTTCCAATACCTTTAACTGTATATGTCATCATGGTTTTTCGGGTGATGGTTTCACATGTAACGGTATACGCCACCATCAAAATACCCTGGGTACGATGTGTATAAAGTGTTGCATTTTCGCTTAACAGTAATTCAAACACTATCCTGGACATGCACATGTCATATGTATTGAATGTACTGTACAGTGTGTACACTCATCTGAACATTATGATGAGCTATTAATCTTGTGAATGTACTGTACAGTGTGTACACTCATCTGAACATTATGATGAGCTATTAATCTTGTGAATGTACTGTACAGTGTGTACACTCATCTGAACATTATTTACTCATTCATATCCATCAGAAGAAGAAAATTGCAAGTGGAAACATGAAATTTTTTATGTCATATGAAATTTTTCTTATCGTTTTGTTCAGATGTCGACGAATGTATAAATAATCCCTGTCATGTGAACGCGACATGCGACAATCAACCAGGAACATTTGGCTGTAATTGCAACACAGGCTTTTCTGGGAATGGACGTACAATTTGTAACGGTGCGTAAAAACATCACTAAATTGAAATTAGACATCAATTTTATTTAAACGACTCCATAATGTGTTTACTGACAATGGCTCAGAAAACCGACACGTCAGACAAAATAAAATAAAATTGGCTGCAATGCGTGCTCATTAACTCGATTGAGCACGGCAAAAAAGCCCGGGACATTTTTGCCTTTTTTTAGGAAGCATTTTCTAGGGAATTTTCCTAACATTTTTTATTGATTTAATCAGTAAAATTTAATAACAACGCTCAGCCACTTTGTTTTGATAGATAACTGATTTATTTTAAGGCAAATCATGTGCCAAGTGAAAAGCTTAGATTATAGTGAATTGAAGGCAAAGTCGAGGAGTTTCGGTCAGCGGGACGACAAACACTTTTTCCTCTCCCAACTTGTGGGATCAAGCCAAATGATGAAAAAATCGTTTATGTGATTGATATATATCTTTTTACGAACATTCTGAATAAAGTGGTAGCGTTATATAAAACAGTTAGTTCAGTTTTATAGTTTGAATTTACACTTTAATTAGTTTAGTCGACGTTTATTCAAGTTGTGATATATTTCACGGTAATTATGCATTTAGATGTGGTTGAATGCAATGATCCTACGACATGTGATGCAAATGCTCGATGTGACAACACCATAGGAAGCCATTATTGCACTTGCAACTTCGGTTATTCAGGAAATGGAAAATCATGCCAAGGTAAGCTCAGCCTAGAAAATTCAAGACCATAGCTGGAACTGGAAGACAGTTGCATTGCATATATACTCTCCGGGTTTCTTTATTGTATATTTCTTAATTTGATAGTCTGCAGACATAGGTACATATATATTTATGATCCTGATATATATATAATATTTTAAATCTCTTTTAAACACAGATATCGATGAATGTGTTGATCCATCAAGATGTCCAGCAAACTCCACATGCAGTAACTCACCTGGAACATTTACATGTACATGTAATATTGGCTTTACGCCAGTGAGTGGCAGATGTGACGGTACGTAAAGTTAATTATAAGACCGCATAAACGCTCTCAGACGCCTCTGAGGGTTCATTAATTGAAGAGCTACCCGACGCGGGAACTTCTAGAGAAGAAGTATGGGTGCAGTATTATAAACCCACTGTGTCTAATGGCTATGTGATGTGAATCATGTTTCTCCTAATGTAGCCAGTGGTACCGCCAAGGGGAAGGAAGCGAGCGCGGGACGAGATGTTCATCAGAAGTTGCGTAACTTCCCGCGCATCTATTAATAGAATCTACTGAACTTTGATCTAATATAAAGCTCTATGATTATATTATGCATGTCCTCACACCGAATTAAATTGTCAAGTATTCTGAAATTTGAATGTAGCAAAAGGTGATTTATTAAGAGCTTTACATTTTCCTTTAAATGCCTCCACAATGCAGGAAATCAGTGTCCTAGTTCAGAGACCCAAATCTCTCATTTTTCGGGGGAACGCGGTTCCACGCCCTTTTAGAATTGTAGCTCGCTAATTATTAAGCTGCTCCCCCCTCCCCCCTCAAAAATAACTAAAATCCTGACAGCACCACTGAATGTAACATGACTGCATGTATATGTTTAAATTTGCAATATTTTAATCTTGTTTCTAAAACTTTCACCTTTGTGGTTCATAATTTATTTCTTACTTATATTACAATATTTTAAACCACAACAAATACGCGGTAGCAGAAAGAAGTATATTTCGTGGCGAACGCTTTTCCGCAACAAAATAACAATACAATAACAATATAATTTCCAAATCAACACCTGCATGAGCCGACGTTACACATTCATCGCCTTGCCGGTCAAATCAATTTGCGGTTCATTTTAACACCACATTATTGTATTTTGCATTGGAGAGGCACATTAGAAAGGCGAGCTCTTGTAGTCCGATAGCTAGACGACGCGGTGTGTCTCGGCCTTAAGAGGGACTTATTAAAGACGGGGCTTATTAATTAAAGTTATGATATAGCACTGGGGAAAAATGTGAAATCCATGCTATGGGATTTGCAATTGCACCACTAAATCCATAGTATATCCATGCTATTTCGATACTATATCCACAGTATGGAAATTACAATTATTATGGATAATCAAAATCCATGCTAATTCCAATAAAGGTCCATAAAATTTCATTACTATGGATTTTCATTTTTTACCAGTGTAGATTTTATTTAACAGTACAAGTTCACGCCTGTGAACATTGTAATTTTCGCAGTCAATTTCATGCAAACTCAAAGATTTGTGAATTTGTTTTCACCTAAACTACTGTTCGATACATTTTAGTTGAACTTTTGGTTTTTCGTTTGGGTCTGACAAAATGTCCGACCAACTGTGCAATTTTTCTGACATTCGAATATTCTGCTGACAATACTTCGATACATTGTTTGCTTATCACTTCCCGCACGATCAATCACATTGCATAACTATTGGTTTTAAGCAGTCTATACGACCCATGCATCAACCGAAACGTTCTTGCTCCCGAGTGCTAACAACGTTTCAAAAATGTTCTACTTCATGACTACTATAAATTTGTAACTTTATTATGTTGCTTGTCACAGCAAATTGAAAATGTTTTGTATTTCTTCTAATCAAATAATATATTTTTAATTTATTTGATCAGTCGAAATGTCGATACAGAATAATATTAACAGGTCATTTAGTGTTTTTGTTCCGTTATTATCCACAATGACCTTTAGCTTCTGTGGGTAATGATGCTCTTTTAATTAAAATTTTAGACATAAATGAATGCAGTAGAGATCCGTGTACAGAAGATGGTGCTGTATGTACAAACACAATTGGATCCTATACATGTACTTGTCCTGAAGATCTCTATAACAACGGAAACCTGTGTTATGGTATGGAAAATATTCGGAATATCCCACAATTTAATTTTACTCGTAGAAGGATTAAGTTTAAAACATTTTATTACATATTTTCGCAGACATCCTAAATATCTAAGCTAAACACCTACAGTATAATGGGGTTTAATAACCATAATGCGGTTACATTTTAATCAGGTTCCCGGCTGTGTATCGACTTAGCAAACATTCTGGCCAACCTAACTTTGTCGTCATGATCTAATCAACTAAGAACTTTCCAAAATTAGTAAAGTAACCAAGAAAACTAACACTAAGTAAAATAATGCAAATTCCGGTCGAATTTCATTCACGACCAAACGTTTCGACATTAGTCCAGGGATGTCGTCATCTGCCAACATAGTGGAGATACTCCTGTAGTCATCTTAAGCCTGGTTCACATATGCCTGAGGCATGCCTGCGACATGCCTGCGACTGTATCATCATCGCGGAAATACCGGCAAAGTTGA